AACTAAAGGTGACATAGATACTTTATTATGGTATAGTATTTAAATGTATGCCTGAGAAACACATAATATTGCCCCTTTAAGATATTATGTTTTTCAATAAATTAATCCGGGCGGCACGGTGGCTCAGTTGGTAGAGCTGATGCCTCTCAGCAAGAAGGTCACCGGTTCAAATCCCGGTCCGGGGACCTTTCTGGGTAGAGTTTGCATGTTCTCTCCGTGCATGCGTGGGTTCTCTCCGGGTACTCCGGCTTCCTCCCTCAGACCAAAAACATGACTGTTAGGTTAATTAATAACTCTAAATTGTCCCTAAGTGTGAGTGAGAGAGTGAATGGTTGTTTGTCTCATTTGTCTCTATGTGTGCCCCTGTGATGGACTTGCGACCTGTCCAGGGTGTACCCCACCCCTCGCACTGTGACTGCTGGATATGGGCACCAGTGACCCACGCAACCCTGAAAAGGAAGAAGTGTGTACAGAAAATGGATGGATGGATGGATGGATAAATTAATCCAATCTGTCGACAAATAATTTCTAAAAAAAATTAGAAAACTGTGGTAACAAGGATATTGGTCTAATTATTGAACATACATTTCTCACCATTTTTAAAAAAGAGAAATTACCTGGGCTGTTTTTATATTGTTAGGAAATATACCAGTTGAAAATGATAAATTACAGATATATGTAAACGGTTCAATCACATAATTCATTATATTTTTTACAAGCATCATATCATTGTCAACCCAGTCTTTTGATCTTCTGTCACCAAGATTTTTTACCATACTCAGTATTTCTTCTTCGTGAGTTTCAACACGAAAAATACTGTTGGTACAATCCTTAATTGCGTGACTCACAATTTTATCTACTTTTGGTATTTTTGCTGCAAGACATGGGCCAACATTCACAAAATAATTATTAAATCCATCCACAATTTCATTCTGGTTGTGAATTTCATTGCCATCCTTCACAAAATACTGTGGAATACCTGATTTTACTTCATGATTTTTCAAAACAGTATTCATTATTCGCCATGTTTCCCTCATAATACCATTACTTTTTTCTAATAATTCACTATAATACTCCTTCTTGTGTTTTCTTATAATCCAAACCAACTTTTTATATTTCTTGTCTCTATCTTCCGCTTCTTTTGTTCTTGATTTCAGGAAGCATGAATACACGTGATTCTTTTTTACATGCATTTCTCAATCCATTCGTCATCCATGGTTTATCAACGTCTCTCTTCATAATTTTTTTGGACAGTTTTTTTCATACAGACCTAAAATATTCATAAATAGGTCATATGCTCTATTTACATCGTCAACATACACATCTTTCCAATTTTGTTTTATCAAATCATCTTTTAATTTATCCAAGGATTTTTTGATGTGTTTATTATTATTTTTTCTTAATTGTATGTATTTTTGTATTGCATTGATCATTGTTGTAAATTGTGAAATCTAGTAAGTGATCACTTACATCAGTAATCAAAATACCACCCATAATCTCTTTATTTGTTATGTTTGTAAAAATGTTATCAATTATTGTTGCACTATGAGTTGTGATTCTTGTAAGTTTTGATATCAGTGGAGAAATATTTAGACTGTACATTGAATTTTTAAATGTACCAATATCATTTGTCTCTGTTTTATTTCCAAGGTCAATATTATAGCCTCAACACAAAAAAACTGTTCGTTAGAAGCCTTTTCCAGTAGCAGTTCATGATTTGATCAGCTCTATATTTGAGTCTGGTGGTCGATATACACAGCTTATTATTATATTTTTAGAATTTTTATTTATTACTTGCTGTGGTGGAGTGGTTAGGGGAGTTGTCCTGGAACCGGAAGGTCGCCGGTTCAATCCCCCATCCAGCCGTCTTAGTCATTGTGTCCTTGGGCATGACACTTCACCTGCCTTGCCTACTGATGGTGGTCAGAGGGTCAGGTGGTGCCGGCTCATGGCAGCCCCACCTCTGTCAGTGTGCCCCAGGGCAGCTGTGGCTACAATGTAGTTTACCATCATCAGTGTGTGAATGGGTGAATGTCTGTAAGTGTAAAGCGCTTTGGGGTCAGGAGGGACTTGATAAAGTGCTCTGTAAGTTCAGCCCATTTACCATAAATTAAACTTCCTCCCTTAGATAACCTATCTCACACATGCCTGCATGGAGCTGCAGCTTGGACAGAAGCGCTTCCTGTTTGACCCCTGGCTGAAGGGTCCTGCTTTTGCCAGGGGCTGGTGGCTTCTCCATGAGCCTCCAGCAGATTGCCTGGATAGACTCTGTGCAGCAGACCTCATCTACATCAGCCATATGCATTCTGACCACCTCAGGTAAACTTTACTAGAGCTCAAACTCTACTGTTCACATTTTGTGGCAATATTAAAAAAATGAAAAAAAAAAAAAAAACAACTTCAATGACAGTAAGTTACCTCTCTGCTTAAGGTCTGGGGAATTAATGCATTAAAATTAAGTTTATAATTGGATGCAAAGTAAACAGTTTGATATTTATAAAAAATAGGGGTTGAGAAGATCCAATATCTCAGTTTAATATACTGTATATTGCTAAAAAGAAGATTTTTCAAATGTAATAAACACCTAAGAAAAAAAATCAAGAGACACTAACTGTAGGTTTATTTGGGGAATTAGTATTTTATTGAAGATGCAAGATGAAGCTTTATTATCTCCTAGGGATAATTTGTTTCACAACCAAAATTATGACAAACAAGATATACAGTAACAAGCAAAACATATCCTTGTCTAACAACCTGATCTGACATAAACGTCTCTTTTTCGCCTTCCTAACTTTGGCTTTGTCTATTTTTGCTACTATATAAAACCTTAGCTGTCATTTCAATATGTGAAGAATTAAACTGCCTGAAGCTAGCTAAGGTGCTACTCTACCTTATGCCTATAAGCCCAACTACTACATCTAAATGAGTTAAAAGACAGACAATTAGATTATCTTCTCCACATGAGACGCATGGAGAAGGAATTTTAAATTCAGCACATGCTCATATCATTTTGAAGCTGTGTGGTTTTAGCTAAAAGCTAGGTGGCTAAATGAAGAAAGAGAAGCTAAAACAAAACTGGTTATAAAATTCAGAAAATTACGGAGCCCGTTCGGTGACATGGAATAAAAAAATTTCACGTGGTCACGTGACCCAGATATCATGAACAAAGATGTGCACATCAAAAGAAAACTTCCCAATGGTGAACTGGAAGAGAGGGAAGGCTCTGGTGTTTTACGTGATTGCCTCTCAGAATTCTGGGGTGAGTTCTACAGCAAATGCACTTTAGGCACTGAATGAATGCCAGGTTCAGGAACGGCAGGCAGTTGCAAGAATTCTTGTGATGGGTTGGATAACTGTTGGATATTTCCCACTGCTTCTTCCTCTTCTTGAATGTTGGTTGCCTTGCTGCTCATTTGCATAGATTTGTCCAGATGCTCTGAAACCTTTGATGATATTATGTACTTCACGCTACAATCTGTGCCCTCATTTACCAATTCACACAGCACTGTACCAGATCTCCTACAAAGCTAACATGTACAAATCAACTATGGAGACTAATCAGTGTCAATCACATTCATACACTGATGGGACACACATCAGAGGCATTGGGGTTAAGTATCTTGCCCAATGACACAACAACTGAGACAGCTGGACGGGGGATTGAACGGGCGACCTTCCGGTTCCTGGACGACTCCCCCAACCAGTCTGCCACAGCCGCCCCCAGTTAACAATTACAGTAACATATGATCTCATTAGTCGACTAATTAAAAAAAATAATCGGTGATTAATCGACCATAAAAATAATCGTTTGTGGCAGCTCTAGTCCCCACCAAGTAGTAAAAAGAAGGGCACATGCACACACACACACACACACACACACACACACACACACACACACACACACACACA